GCCCCCCCCCCCCCGGATAGAAAGGTTGGGTATAAATGAAATGAAGGGTTGTAGAAACCCTGAGCTAGAGGCAGATTTGGAACAGATGTGGGCTAATAATCTGAGCTCATTCCCAACAAGATGAGTTACTGGCAGGGGTCATTTCCTGCTCCGGCAGTAAAGAGCCCAGGGGGTGGGCACATGCAACAAGCCCCACCCCCTGCTCCCAGCAGCCCTCAGTCAGAGCAAGAAGCAGCTAGGTAAGTTGCAGAGCTACCCCCAGCCCCTCAGCCCAAAACAGTCCAGTGGCACCTTTAAGACCAAGTTTTATTCAGGTACAAGCTCTCCCTCCTCTGCGAGGACAGATCTGCACATTCCCCACCCCACCCCAATAGCTAGCAATCCAAAACAGTCTAGTGGAGGCTGAGCGGTGGGTGTTGCCTTCCGACACACTTCCGGTGATGTCAGGGGGTGTGGCATATGCAAATAAGTTATGCTAATGAGCTCCACTTTTTTTACGAAATGACCCCTGGTTACTGGGGAGTGGAGGGTCTGACCTTGGACCCGTTCTGGATGAGGCTGCACTCGCCTTGAAGGAACAGGTTTGTTGTTCGGAGTTGCTCTTGCGTCCAGTCTGATGGCTGAACGAGCAGGCGGACAGCTATGGCAAGGAGCGCCTTTTACCAGCTCAGACTTGCCAGCTGTGGCCTCTCCTGGGCAGAAAAAGAACTGGCCACTGGGGTGTGTGCCCTGGTTCCATCCAGATCACAGCATTGTTACTCTCTGTGGGGCTGACCGCGAAAAGTGTTCAGAAACGTCAACTGGTACAGAAAGCTGCAGGCCGGAATGTTAACTTTAAAAGTTTTATGTAGACCAGGTACCTTGTACCGACCACTATAAGTCTCTCCTGGGCAGAAAAAGAACTGGCCACTGGGGTGTGTGCCCTGGTTCCATCCAGATCACAGCATTGTTACTCTCTGTGGGGCTGACCGTGTTCAGAAACGTCAACTCCAGTATTGGCCCATCAACATAGTCTCCCCATTTGTTTCCGGGCACAATTCAAAATGCTGGTGTTGACCTTTAAAACCCTATACAGCTTGGGGCCACGGTGGCTCAGTGGTTAAGACACTTCACTGCAGACCAGAAGGTCAGTAGCTCGGCAGTTCGAGACCCGAGTGCCGCGTGACGGAGTGAGCTCCCTTCCCTGGTCCCAGCTCCTGCCAGCCTAGCAATTCTTAAGCAAGAAATTGCAAGTAGATAAATAAATACCGCTTCGGTGGGAAGGTAACAGCGTTCCGTGCGCCTTAGCGTCTAGTCATGCTGGCCACATGACCACGGAGAAGTCTTTGGACAGCGCTGGCTCTTTGGCTTGGAAACGGAGATGAGCACCACCCCCTAGAGTCAGATTCGACTGGCTTTCAAGCAAGGGAAACCTTTACCTTACAGCTTGGGACCAGTATCCCTGAAAGACCATCTAATCTACCCAACCACTGTGGTCATCATCCAAGGCCCTGCTTTGGGCACCCCTACCTTCTGAGATTTGGCAGGTGGATACCTGGGAGGGGACCTTCTCGGTCACGGCCCCTAGACTCTGAAACTCCCTCCCCAGGGAGACTCGCCTGTCCCCTTCTCTTGCCCTCTTCCATATCAGAGAGCCAATTTGGTGTAGTGGTTAAGTGTGCGGACTCTAATCTGGGAGAACCGGGTTTGATTCCCCACTCCTTCACTTGCACCTGCTGATGTGACCTTGAGTCAGTCACAAGCTCTGGCACAGCTGTCCTTGAAAAAGAGCAGTTTCTGTCAAGAGCTCTCTCAGCCCCACCTACCTCACAGGGTGTCTGTTGTGGGGAGGGGAAGGGAAAGGAGTTTGTAAGCCACCCTGAGACTCCAAGTGAAGGGCGGGGTATAAATCCAATCTCTTCTTCTTCTTCCACCAGAGGGTAAAGACTTTTTTTGTTTCACCTGCCATTTCCTCATTGATTCCTCCTAGCTGCCTATGTTTAATTGTTGCTTTTATATGTGTGTTTTAGCTTGGTTTTAATGTTTTGTTTTTATTATGTCTGTTTTAAATCTGTTAGGTGGCTTGGTGGCCCGGATGAGGGCAGAGAGGTATAAAATCCATAAATAAGTAGTAAATAATAAACAAACACACACAAAATACAAATATTATCAATAGACGCCATAGTTAACACATGCACACATAACCCCATTTGTTGGAGAAACCTTTCCAAAAACTATGTTTATTTCAATTCCAGCCAAGAACGCCTTTTAAAAGAAAGGATTGGAAAGGACTGTTGTGGCGGGGGGAGAAAGAGGAATGGAAATGTTTCTGTTTTGGATACACCATAGCAATAACATCCAGAAATGCAATGCGGGAAGAAATTTTTTTTTATTCATCCCCATCTTACCTTTTAGCTCTTTGTCTGTATAATTGTGGTGATTTGATACCAATTCATGCTTCAGTTTCTCCAGCAAGAATTTCACCACAGAGATATTCCATGAAGATTTAATGCTATAAGAGAAAAAAGGGAGGGAGAGAAGGGAGAAAGAAGTGAATGCTGGCACACCTGACACAGCCTGGCCATTCTCGCCAACCAAATCGCGTCGGATATAATGCGTTAGGGCTGGATGTAAATGTGAAGTTGGCAAGGCGAAAGCACTCTCCTGAGGGTCTTTTGTCTTGGACCGATGCCCTTCCCAAGCGAGCAACCCAGTTTAAACAAGACTCTGTGCAAATGCAAAAGTCCCACGGGAAAGCACTTCAGCCGCAGCCAAACATCGTGGTTCAATCGGGCTTTAAATTAGGGAAGAGAAGAAGGTGAGACCCAAGTTGCCCTGCATTAGAAAACAGAACAGAATATACCCCACACACACATATGCAAGATCAAGTAACTTTTGACTCTTGTTTTATTTCAATCTATTAATTTATTTAAAATATGTATATGGCTGTCCTTCTCCTGAGCATTTTGGGGTCCCTTCATTCTACAACAGGATTTCCCAATGTGGCACCTGTGGCTCAGAGGTTAAGACGCTGAAGCTGCAGACCAGAAGGTCTGTAGTTCGGCAGTTCAAGACCCGAGTGCTGCGTGATGGAGTGAGCTCCCGTCTCTGGCCCCAGCTCCTGCCAACCTAGCAGTTTGAAAGCAAGAAACTGCAAGTAGATAAATAGGTACCAATTCCGTGGGAAGGTAACAGCGTTCCGTGCGCCTCGGCTGGCCACATGACCACGGAGACGTCTTCGGACAACGCTGGCTCTTCGGCTTGGAAACAGAGATGAGCACCACAAACCTTTACCTTTTTATATGCCTGTCTTTCTCCTGAGCATTTTTGGGGGCCCTTCACTCTACATCAGGATTTCCCAATGTGGCTGCAAAGATTGTGCTGTGCCGGAATTCCAAAGGTGCCTGGAGGTTCAAAAAGGTTGGGGAGCCCTCTTCTACATGATGCTCATTTTAGTTCCTACTTCCACCATAACCATTTCCCAGGACAGCATGCATGTGTGTGGAGGAAGAGAAGAAATCTGCCCTTCACCACTCCTTAAACCATTTGTGAGTAGGCAAGATTAAAGCTTGTTAAGCGGTAACTAGCCCTGATCCAGATAGTCCAGGCTAGCCTGGTCTTATCAGATCTCAGAAGCTAAGTAGGATCAGCCCAGGTTAGTACTTGGATGGGAGACCACCAAAGAAGTCCTGGGTTGCTCTTGCCTTGAAAACCATACCAAGTCACCATAAACCTGCTGCAACTTGATGGTACTTTCCACCAAGGTGTAATTAAGTGGTGTAAAGTGAACCTGAATCTTGAGATACTAATGAACAACAATAGAGAAGGTTCACATTCTGGACACTGGGTTTGTGACAGGACAAATTAGGGCTTCCAGATCAATACAGGAGAGGAATTTGATCCAGTTTCTTTTATTGCCGACGCCGTACATGAGAAGAGACGCTGCACCTACTGAAATTCTGCCTTCTCGATAGTTGTTAAGAGCGTAAGAACCTTATTTTGAGGCAGTGTGGTCTCATGGCTAGATTGCAACCACGCTGCATACTGCTCCCTGAATGAATTGGGGTCAGTCCCTCACTTTCTTCCCAGAACCTACTTCACGGGGGGTTTTGTGAGTCTAAAGTGGAAAGGCAAAAATCATAGACCAATTCCCCACAAGCAGCTGTGCCACCGTTGCTCTTCCGTTTTCCTGGTCGTATTGGTCAATTTCACACTGTTTGCTCCCCCCGATTTACTCCTCGTCTTCTCGAGCCTCAAAAAACAGAATCAAGAAGATGCGGGGGAAATCGGGGGGAGATGCGGGTCAAAATGTGGCTGCACAGTGAATAGTGTGAAATTGACCAATACGACCGGGCAGGGCTTTTTTTGTAGAAAAAGCCCAGCAGGAACTCATTAGCATAATAGGCCACACCCAACAGCAGAAACACATTACCATATTAGGCCACGGCCCTGACAGCACAGCTCATTAGCATATTAGGCCACACACCCATGTTACCAGAAGTGTGGTCATCCAGCCACGGCCACCTTTTGCTGCTTATTCTGTTGACCTTCTTTGTGGTCAAAACCCAGGCCTTTTTTTGTAGCAGGAACTCCTTTGCATGTTAGGCCACACACCCCTAATGTAGCCAATCCTGATGAGTTTCTGCTGTTGGGTGTGGCCTATTATGCTAATGAGTTCCTGCTGGGCGTGGCCAACTTGGGAGCCAGCGGAACTCCGTTCCTGTGCGTTCCTGCCCAAAAATAGCCCTGGAACCGGGGGAAACGGAAGAGCAACGGCAGCACAGCTGCTCATGGGGAATCGGTCAGATATGCCTCCCTTAGTTCCTCGGTGGAGAGGGCAGGATAAAAACATAAGAGTATTTCTTATGGAAACAGACAACCCCCAACCAAAACTCACCTCTCAGAGCCGTCAAACCTCTTGTCATTGGCAATGTGATTGTGGACATTATGAACCAGTTTCTGGAAAAGGAAACAGAAAGATCAGGAACTGAACCCCAGCTTTAACTCAACAGACCAAAGCTATTAACGTGGAGCAGTACTCCTGTGCAAAGTAACTGGAAATAAATAATTTCAAATAAAGATCCGCAGAGCCCCTGGTCCCTTGCACAAAAGAATCTCTTCTGCCAGCCAGTTAAAGAAGTTGACACACTTGCTCTCTTACATTATGTGGAAGTAGGTATCAACACTCAACTGCCGATTCAGACCAGTCTATACTAAAAGTGTAAGCTCAACATAGGATAGCCTGTTTACATGTCCAAAGGAGGATAATATGGTTATGAAAAACTAGACTATTTGGTTGTGTAAAACAAATATGAACACAGAAGATTCTCAACAAATTTTATTGTTCTAATATTCAGTGTTATCCAGGGGTCATTTCCTGCGGGAGCGCACAGGAGCAGAGCTCCGGCAGTAAAGAGCCCAGGGGGCGGGCACATGCAACAAGCCCCGCCCCCTGCTCCCAGCAGCCCTCAGTCAGTGCAAGAAGCAGCCAGGTAAGTCGCAGAGCCACCCCCCCCGGCCCAAAACTGTCCAGTGGCACCTTTAAGACCAAGTTTTATTCAGGTACAAGCTCTCCCTCCTCTGGGAGGACAGATCTGCACGTTCCTCCCCCCCCACCAATAGCTAGCAATCCAAAACAGTCCAGTGGAGCCTGAGCAGTGGGTGTTGCCTTCTGACACACTTCCGGTGATGTCAGGGGGTTTGGCACATGCAAATGAGTTATGCTAATGAGCTCCTGCACCTCTTTTTCTACGAAATGACCCCTGGTGTTATCTATGTTTATTGTTTCTGAACACTTCTATGTAAACTGTTATTTCTTCACTCTGAAAAATGAAATTAAAAAATATAAATTAAGAAAGAAAGAAAGAAGTCAACTCACTGATAGGACCAAGTCCCTCTTGCGCCTCGCATTCTTCTGTCCAATGTTTCGGCTTCTGCAAGGGAGACTCGCAAAGCCCAGAGAAAAACGTGGCTCCCCGTGCATCGCATCCTCCAGGGTGCTGCTGCTGGGAGACACTTCAGGGCAAGAGAGAGAAGGATCATCCAGGGGCGGTAGAGTTGTCTGAGGGACAGGAGAAGAGGGTGTAGCATAGACCCGCTGCATGGAGGGATCTACTGTGGGAGATTCTTCCGTTACCTGAGAACAGAAAGATTTGAACAGCCCAGAGCAGTGGCCCTCAGTCCCAAACGATGGCCCCTTCCAACTCTGGTGTTGTTTCCCCACCCCACTTCTACAGCCACTTATCCTAGACACGGGCTCTGTGCCTGAAAAAGTTGCCCTGTAGCAGAGGTCCCCAACATGGCACACACGTTGGCTCCTGCTGGCGCCTTTCCAAGTGCCCAGGGCTCTTCCCCAGCAGGTATTCTGATTGGCCCATGCTGATTTAAAATAACAACAACACTGCTTTGTCAGCAGCTGCCACCACAGCACAAAGATCTTCACTGTGTGACTGACAGTAAGCTGAGGCAATATTTCAAAATAATATGTCCATTACAAAAGGCATCTTTTAAAGCAGAGCTTCTGCCTGAAATGTTGAAGAGTTGCTATCATTCAGAGTTACGCCTAATCTCATCCTGACATTTCGCAGTTGGCTATGCCGCCTGCGGCAGCCATTTTGCGGGCGCACCCCTCACACTGTGCACGAATTCCTAACAGGGCCTGTAGGTTCAAAAATGTCGTGGACCCCTGCCCTATGGCTTTCTTCCTGCATACACGGTCACAAAGGAAAGACTTTGTTTTATTCAACGGGTCTGCATTGGTAATATAAAACACGCATTGGCCAGAACGTCCGTTAGATATCAAAAATGCTTCCCCCCACACACGCGGACCAAATTCACACTTGACACAAATAAAAGGGGAAGCTCAAAGGCGCCTTTTAGCATCGTGCGTGAAAACATTCTGCCACTAACCTTGAATTTCCCCCGTCCCTGGTTTTGCCAGTGCCCCTCAATCACCACTAACGGCCGTAGTCCCCCTTCTATCCCAGCCTCGGGATCGTACACACACATAACACTTTTCAGCTCCTGCCAGAGCCCCTCAACCCCAGGCCACAACAGCAAAGCAGAGCTTGGCGCGACTCCCAGAATGCCTCTCTCCTGAGCAGGTCTTTGGCAGGGGAGGCAAGAGAGGCCATCAAATATTCATGAGGCCATCTGTGCCTGACCGGAGGGACACGGGGATTGTGTGCGTGTGGGTTTTTGTGTGTGTGTGTGGGGGGGGGATTGAAGAACTTTTTCGAAAGAAGCCCCCAATCCTCCACCTACGTACCCCGCCAAGCCCCCCAGCTCCCAGCTGCACGGGAGAGAAACCCAAGCGTCCAGGTGGCCCCGCGGCTGCTCCCAGCTGCCTCAGCTCTTCTATGACCACCTGGACGCCATTTTGGAAGCCTTCAGCCTCTCTTTCCTCTTCCTCCTCCTCCTCGTCGTCTTCTCGCTGCTCCACTGGAACACACAGGGGGCTAGCTTTGACAGGAGGGGCTGCTGCCTGGCGCAGCACCCCCATTTCCTCTTCTAGGCGCCGCAGAGCCTCGTTGTTGGCTTTGGCCAAGCTCAGAGACATCTCGGCGAGGCCCACGGCCTTTTCGACTCGCTGGTAGATGACATGGAGGAGCTGCTCCGAAGACTGGACAGCCAGCCCCGTCCCCGTGACGGTGATGGGAGTGCAGGGTGGGGATGGAGGCGGCGCCGGGGTGGCTGGCGGGGCACCGGGCTCCTGCTTGCAGGTGCAGCAACAGCATTTGGCTTCTTTGGCATTCGGAGGGGAGAACAAAATGGTGGCGCTGAATGACATGGCCACTCGAGCCGTCACAAGGGATTCTGGGAGTTTCTCAGCCTCTGCTTTTGAAGAAGGCCAAGCAGGCTGAAGATGTAATCTTTGGGGTTCAGGCCCATGGAACAACTCGGACAAAGCAGACGCCGGCCTAAGCTGAGGGAAACAGGCTGTCAAGAAAAATTTTAAAAATGCTCTTATGAGTGTGACTAGAGAGCAGGCAGCAACTCTGGAAAAGGTGTGAAAATCCAAAGGCGTACCTTTAGGCACTTCTGAATACCAGTCGCTCACCCCCACCCCGTGACCCCAGGCTGAAGGTTGTTTGTTGCTTGCATATTGTAAATTGATACCAAACGTCACTTGCTCTTCATATACACTTTAATTTGTTTTAACACATCCTTTGCCCTATTCTAAACCATCTACCTATTTCGAGTGTCTGGCCAAGGGAGAGCCAAGGGCATCCCTCAGTTCATAATGCATCTCTTCTCAAAAGCAGAAGTCATGAAAAGGTGGGTTTGGGTTGGGGGGTTTCTGCACATGTGACCATGCAAAGGAATTTTTCGGGGCCTTTATCTTTAACTCAGTAAGGCCAGCTCTTGCAAAGTTTTTCTTGTGGCACTTGCTAGTATCCACACGTTCACAGCGCTCCATAGGTCGAAGCAAAGAAAATGGGCGCTGAGCGAGGAGAGAACGCAGTTTCTCCGAGTTATGAGTCAGATCCCCCCCCCCAAACAGGAAATTCCTGATTCGCATTCTTTAAATCCCGCGCGACCAGAGCGAGCAGAAGGCCAGGGTTCAGACGTGCTTTTTGTTCTGGGGCTCCGCGGTTTGGAACGCTGCGCTCCCCAGCGTTCTATCCCGCGTGTGCAGCGCGGGAGGGGAAAGAGGCGCGAGCGCCGCAGCCGTGTACAAAGAGAGCGGTCCGCGGCCTCCCCCGCGGCGCGCCGATTGGCCGCCGCCAAGAAGCCAAGGGCCGCCGATTGGTCGCAAGCTGTTGCGCCGTGGCCGGGGGCTGAGAAGAAGGCGGGGAAAGGAACGGACGCGGAGGAGAAGGGGCACTTTAGGGAGTTGTGCGAGGCCAGGCGCTTTTTTCATGGCCGTCTGCAGCCCAGCTTGGGGGAGTTTTCCCTTTCGTGACCCCCGTTTTCCCCAGACAGACATCCATTATAGACAAGGGGCGTGCAGATCAGCATATCCATTAAGCTAAAACACAAAACACCAGACACAATATTATCATCTTGTCTCCCACACAAAATTTCCTGATTGCCTGGAAGTCAGGTTAAATGACTGACAAAAATGGACAAGGTCATGCCAAGGGCCTTAACCCAAGGCTTAAAATGGCTGCCCTGCTCCAAGGTCCCCCACCAGAGCGCTAACAAGGCCTGTCCTTCCCAATGTCGCATTTAAATCCATATTTTCAGATGCCATTCCCTCCACCACAAACCCTCATAACTGGTCTCTCCCAACACCCGTATCCCCCATAACTGTCCACAGTGAAAGAGCACATCAATTGTCAGTCGCTTCAGAACTACATATTCAACCTTCCCTTCTCAATGTACCATAAAAAAGCCAAGCCATTTTCATCACGGTCAAGGCACATTCGTATTTAAGGACAGTTAATATTCTACTCCAGTAGCACCTTAGAGATGATGACCAAGATTTTCAGGGTGTGAGCTTTCAAGAGCCATTTGTCATATTTAAGGATCGTTTATTGCCAGTTTACATATCGATAGGTCTTAAATAACCCACTTTCTAAAGTCTAGATCCGATCCTATGAGCCAAAACAGTACACATCCTCCAGCTGAAGAGTCTGAAGACCTCTGTGTGCATAGCTGCCTCAGGAATTCTACGCCTCCAGTGTGCACATCAGATGAATTGAAATCCAGTAAACCACTTTCCCCACTCCTAAATGGTAGCTAATGCAGAAGGAAAAATTGGGATGGAAGAAAACTACACTGCCCTACACTCTTTAGTCTCTCTCCGATTGTGTGAAAAAAGGATGATTAATGCATGTTAACACAGATTTATCACCTCGGGGGGTATTGAATAAATATCTGCAACTCCCTAAACACCTTCGTTCCAACAGAATCAAGATTAAGTGGAGATAAGAAAAGGTGTATCAATTTCCCTTGCAAATGCATACATTACTCCCCTGGAAGCCTGATCATGTTCACACACCACTGTGACTGTAACTGGGATACTCATTCTCTCTCAACGATCTTATAAAAATACATTCCGCTCCATAAACCCTCATATATAACTGTAGGAGCACACATAGAAGAACAGACTCTTATCCAGGATTACGAAACCAGGAATAACGACCACTCTCAATTAGTATGGAATTCTGATTAGAAAGCTCCGCTTCAGCCACAAGAAAATGTCAAAAATTCTTGTCCTGTCTGTTTGAGAAGCAGACATGACGATACACATTAATGTGCAATGTATCCCAGGTACTCTGCCTTCTATACAGTTGTACACTTACCCATTCATCACAACATATACTCTTGCCCGCCTTATTTTCACAGTATCCATTTACATCAGTCTACAGTCGCTCTGTATTTCCATGTACATATCTTCCTGCTAAGCATACCCCGCTCTCCGGCTTCCCCCCCTCCCTCATTCTGTCACGTACAACCCTTTTCTCTGTATATCGTATATTCCCCTAGAAAGGCCAAAACAAACCAAAGAGAATTGGGATTCCCCTTCTTTCACTCCCTCCCTTTGCCATAACTCCCCGCCCCCCCCCCCCAATTCCATCCGTCCCTGGGAAAAGGATACTGGAAGGTCGTGCGTGCGGCTCTTTGTATTCGTGTGTGTGCAAGAGGGGGAGGATGTGCACCCTGCTGCCAACCGCCACACCCCCATGCTCCCCCCTTCTGCCCTGATTGGCCGATCTCCTGCACGCACACAGACACACACCAAAGCTGCACACGCATTCCTCAGCAGGGCCCCCACAGGGGACACCTAGACCGGCTGGCCACTGCCAATTTTTCCTCTCCTGGACGGTCAGGTTGTTCTTCCTCCCCTTGCATACCATTGCCCTGTTCCTGTCCTTTATGCATACGTTCATGCTCTTTCCGACACTTTTAGTGTTTTTTCCATCCTGCTCTCCTCTACTTTCCTTCGGCCCGTTTCTAAGAACGCACAACCTCCATTGGCTTATGTCCCTGTGCATTCTCGATTTGGTGACTCTTTTGCCTTTCAACCCCCCCCCCCTTCCTTCCTTTTACTTCCTCATTATTTATTCCACTGCAGCGGCACTTGTATAAAAATTAGCCCTCCTGCCCATATCCCGGTCTCTCCAGACCCGCTGTGATCCCATTTCATTCCTTTCTTTCTCCTAAGTGGGCATGTGGAGAAAGAGGCCACAAAGCCAATCGGCATTTTTTGTACAATAAAATAAAATAAAATTCTCTGCCTGTCAACCACACCTTCATCTTGGCCTGCCTCGTTCCCGCCATCCTCGCTGCCCCGCAGCTGGCAGTAACCTTTTCCATTCCTATTAGGTTCTACACGCTGCCGCGCACAAGCCTCCGCGTCAATTGGGTGGGAACCAGAGAAGGCAACGGCGCATGAGAATATTTGGGAAGGGTATGCTCTGCGAGGCAGCCAAAATGGGCTCACGCCAGCCTGTACACACCGCAGACATCAAAGAGAAACACGGATCTGGAGGAGAACCCTAAAAAGGATTTGGGATTGGGATTATCCAAGGTGTTTGGGGCTCAATGATGGGGAAAGCAAGTCTACAGCGCCACAGGAACCCTCTGCGATGAACAGAAAGAGGAGGAAACCATCCCCTTAACAGCCATTTGACTTCCGCCCTCCCTCTGTATCACAGCCACATATGCTTTGATGCCTGCGGGAACAGCCGACCTTCTGGTTTTTGCCTAGAAATGGAACTTTCAAGAGACATTTATCTGCAAGTTCCTGCACCCAAACACTCACACCCACACAGCTTACCCCCCCTCCGGGCCATCCCTCAGCAGGCAAAGATCCAAACTTAACAGGGCACTTCTAACGGGACTGGAGAGTATCAAAAGGTCGGTCCCTGCCTATCCTGGGTTTTTAAAAGGTAAAGGTTCCCTTGCTCGAAAGCCAGTCAAGTCCGACTCTAGGGTTGTGGTGCTCATCTCCGTTTCCCAGCCGAAGAGCCAGCGCTGTCCGAAGACGTTTCCATGGTCATGTGGCCGGCATGACTAAACACCAAGGCGCGCGGAACGCTGTTCCCTTCCCACCGAAGCGGTACCTATTTATCTACTTGCAGTTTCTTGCTTTCGAACTGCTAGGTTGGCAGGAGCTGGAGCTACAGACGGGAGCTCGTTCCGTCATGCGGCAACTCAGGTCTTGAACTGCTGAACTACCGACCTTCCACCGCCTGCAGTTCAGCGTCTTAACCACTTGAGCCACCGCAGTTTTTAAATGACGACAAAAAACCAGTCGCTTGGACAGTAAAAGTTTAATTCAGAACGAGCAAAATGTTTTGCTACAGGGAACACCGGCCACAAGCATGAGACAAACGTAAGCCCGCGATGGCCAAACTGGAGGCCCTGTTGCTGTCCCCTCCCACCGATCAGCGGGCCCGATTCTTCCCCCACCCCATTTTGCCTAATGGATAAACCACGCTCCCTCCTGTTCTATAACATATGCAACTTCTCTGCTGCCAACAATGCCAAGCTCTGAGCCCCTCCCCCGCGGTCCTCTAGCTTAAGCCACTGTCCCCGTGGCAGTGCCGCTGAAGGATTCGTGCAGTTTGGCCACGTCATCGCTGGAAACACGGATCCAGCCATCCTGGCGGACGTGGTAGAGGTTGACGGTACCCCCCGAGTAGGCGTCACGGTACGTAGCCTGGTAAATGGCACGACGGGCCAGATCGTAGGCTTCCTCGACTGAGAGATCAGGAGAGTAGCCCCGGTCCATCACCCCGTAGGCGTAGACGGAACCAGACCCCACTGAGAAAACCGTGCCCGAGATCCGGTTCCCTTCGCTGTCCACGTAGTACAGGCCTGAAAGGTAGGGCAGGGAAGTTTGGGGTTACTGGGGCTTCCAACACGTTCCTTATAAAAGCCGTATTAATATAAATACTCTCCCCCCCCCCTTCAACCCCTCCCAGATTATAAGATTAATGTCAAAGATGATCTCTGCACACTTATGTTGCAAGCTGTTCAACAGGCGGCCGGGCAGGGCAAATCCAGCCGGCTGAGTCCCTCCAAACCATTCAGTCCCAGAAATACCTTTCCTCTTGATACTGTACACATCCCCAGACATGTGAATGGGGGGGGGGGAGATTGGATTTATACCCCACCCTTCACTTGGAGTCTCAGAGCGGCTTACAATTCCTTTCCCTTCCCTTCCCCACAACAGACACCCTGTGAGGTAAGTGGGGCTGAGAGAGCTCTTTCCGGAACTGCTCTTTCAAGAACAGCTCTGACAGAACTATGGCTTGCCCAAGGTCCTCCAGCAGCTGCAAGTGGAGGAGTGGGGAATCAAACCCAGTTCTCCCAGATTAGAGTCCACGCACTTAACCACTACACCAAACTGGCTACCACATATATTTGAAACACTTCATGTTTGAGCACCCATTCCTCTATCCATCCACCTGCTGTGCAAACCGGAGTACAGGACTCAGGACTATCTGATCACATTTTCTATATAAAACCCCTCCAGTACTGATTATATGATCTTGAAGAGTCTTCCACAGCATTCCCAGTCTTTTACCCATACATTTTCGGGACACGTTAAATTGCTCAGTCTGTTTAAAACCCCAAACTGTATGGGGCTTTCCCCCCATCAGAAACAGTCCCAAATATTCCATGCACCAAATGATGCAAAAGGAAAAACTGTCTTCAGCGGGATTTAGTTTAGGTTGGAGGCAAGGATGTCCTTGGGAACGCTAAAGGAGAGGAAGATATAGGGACATCCTGAAAACAGAGCCATCTTTTGAGATGGAAGTAGGCAAAGGAGTGTATGATAATCTGGATACAGGAGATCTAGGAGGTAAAGGACATGTGAGAAGAGTGGTGTGGGGGTGGGAATAAAATGGCAGGCATACTGCAGAGTAGGAAACAAGACCCTTGTGGCAGAGTAAAGGAAAATTAAGGTTGCATCCCAGTTCCAGACACCTTTACTTGACTGCAGATCTTATGAACTTCAATGAAATGGGTTCACAAGTATACATGTTTAGGGTTGCAAACTAGGTACAACTCAGCCATCAGACTTGGGTGAAAAGGAGAGGGGGAGATTGGATTTATACCCTGCCCTTCACTACCCGAAGGAGTCTCAAAGCAGTTTACAATCTCCTTTCCCTTCCCCTCTCCACAGCAGACACCCTGTGAGGTAGGGTGGGGCTGGGAGAGCTCTTTCGATAGCTGCTCGTGAGAGAACAGCTCTGAAACAACTTGTAACTGACCCGAGGTCACACCAGCAGCTGCATGTGAAGGAGTGAGGAATCAAACCCAGTTCTCCCAGATTAGAGCCTGCGCTCCTAACCACTACACCAAATTGGCCCTCAGTAGTAGTAGCCACCTTGAATGAATGGCATGATAAAGGGAAAAAATGGGCAGGATTGCATATATAGGTTTGCCTACAAGTTTGCCTACTGTGATGTTGTTGTGCATCTGAACACTAAAATTTAAATGCTTCTCCGTTTAGGATGGGGTGGCACATTGTGTTGTTGAGTCCAGACAGTTTGATTCTGTTAATCCATCAGAGCAGCAGCTCCGAACTGCCAACACTAATATAACTTTCCTCAAGTTATTGATTCCCTTGTATCTGGAAGTGCGCAACAGGAAGTCACTACTGTCAGGAAACCTTGCGAAGAATAACGGTTGAAAAACTAACTGCAACTGCTGGGAAACCAAGCCGAAGCAAGTGTAAGCTAACCCTAGCAGGGCAGAGATCAGCAACCACGTGTGGCTTCCTTCCACTGTCAAAATGTAATGTCACAGCCACAGGACAGAGTGTGGCACTAAGCTCAAAGTCTGGAGATGGGGGGTATCGTTTGAGAAAGCAGTGCCACGAAGGTCTGGGGTATCTGCGATAACGGCAAGGAAACACGGAAGAAATTCTGATGTGCAACCAGGAGCTTCACAACAGTAGATGAGACCTCATGAACTACTTTTAAGACTAACAAGCTTTACTGACAGCTTAGAGGGAACACTGGTCACAGGACAGAGTGTGGCACCAAGCTCAAAGTCTGGAGATTGGGGGTATCGTTTGAGGAGGTAGAAAGCAGTGCCACGAAGGTCTGGGGTATCTGCGATAACGGCAAGGAAACACGGAAGAAATTCTGATGTGCAACCAGGAGCTTCACAACAGTAGATGAGACCTCATGAACTACTTTTAAGACTAACAAGCTTTACTGAAGCATAAGCCTTCGAGAAACACAGCTCTCTTCGTCAGATGCAGAGAGCTGTGTTTCTCAAAAGCTTACGCTGCAATAAAGTTTGCCAGTCTGAAAGGTGCAACTGGGCTTTTTACTATTTTGCAGCAACAGACTGACACGGCTAACTCATCTGGATCTATGAACTGCTTTGTTACAGGGCAAACGTGAACTAGTGGAAAGAGAAGCACTTCTGACAGGCAGGGCATGTCGTGGGAACCTCGGGGCAGATTTCAGTGGGCCTGAAAAGACACCATAAAATGCAGAGTGAAGCTTAAACCCAATTCGGATGCAGGGAGAAGTGGCGGAAGCTAGGCAGCTGAAAGGCAACACAGAGGGTCCTCACCTGGCCCTCGCTTGTCCCAGCCACAAATCATGGTGCCCATGGAAAGCCCCATGCCCTTGTACTGATACACCATGTTGGCCAGCAGCTTGGAGGCAGCGGCCACCGAGATGCGCTCCTTGTTGCGGAGTTCGTAGATGCGGCACTGCCGTGCCAGCAGCCGCTCCCAGAAGCTGCAATCCGCTGCCCCACCAGCCATGGTGCCCAGGAGGTAAGGGTTGATCTCGATGACCTTCTTAACGGTCTGGGATGCGATGTAGACTCCCGCCGTGGCCCGTGAGTCCACCGCCACAATCACGCCATGCTGGAACTGGGGGAGGGAAGGAAGAAACGAGGCGAGACCATGAGTAACCAAAGAGCCACAGCCCAGAGTCTGAAAGTTTGCTTGCTAGTCTAAAGGGAGACGGTGATTCAAGTGGTTTCAACAATGTTTCATCACAGAGACCAGGAGGTATGGCTACTGAAGGTAGCATCCGGAGATGTCAACATCAACCTGGAGACCCGTGGCCCGTGAGTCCACCGCCACAATCACGCCATGCTGGAACTGGGGGAGGGAAGGAAGAAACGAGGCGAGACCATGAGTAACCAAAGAGTCACAGCCCACAGTCTGAAAGTTTGCTAGTCTAAAGGGAGACGGTGATTCAAGTGGTTTCAACCATGTTTCATCACAGAGACCAGGAGATATGGCTACTGAAGGTAGCATCCGTCTGCAAGTCCAGCATGGGAGACACCAACATCAACCAGGAGACCACTGGCAGGGAGACAGAATACATTATACAAAGGAAGGCCTCTGTCAAATAGACACACTAGTCAAAACTTACAGCCAGGTTTAACACACCTAAGCGCTCTTCCATAGTGAGAAAATCACAAGACCAAATTCAAGACACATCAAATCTGTAACTGTAATTCAGAAGTTTCAGGCTAAAGCCTCCTTTGGAAGCCTTTTTGTTGAAGTGAGAACATCAGAAGAGCACTGCTGGACCGGATTAGTGGTCCGTACAATCCAGCATCCTGTCTCGTACAGTGACCAACCAGCTTGATTTGAGTCCAGTAGCACCTTAGGGACCAACAGGAGTTTGGGGGTACAAATTTTTGAGAATCAAAGCTTCATCAGACACAGGAACTGACAAAGAGAGGCCTGACTCTCAAAGGCTGATACCCCAAAATTCTTTTTGGTCTCTAAGGTGTTACTGGACTCGAATTGAACTGTTCTCAGCGCTGGCTCTTCGGCTTTGAAATGGAGATTCCCTAGAGTTGGATTCGACTGGCTTTCAAGCAAGGGAACCTTTACCTTTTTACTGTGGACCGACACGGCTACCCTCTGATATTATCTTCACAGAAGTGGCCAACCAGTTACCTCTGGAGTGCCAACAAGAGGGCACACAAGCCGAGGCCTTCCCCTGATGTTGCCTCCTGGCACTGAACCAGAGCTTTACTGTCTCTGAATGTGGAGGTTCTCTTTAGTCACCATAGCTAGTAGCCACTGATAGACCTCTCCTTCATGAATCTATCTAATGCCCCCTTTAAAGCTGTCTATGTCTTTGCAATTTTCAACACTCAATAAAAAAACCTTTACTGTCTCTGAATGTGGAGGTTTCTCTTTAGTCACCATAGCTAGTAGCCACTGATAGACCTCTCCTTCATGAATCTATCTAATGCCCTCTTTAAAGCTGTCTATGCCTTTGTAATTTTCAATAAAAAAAAGTTTAGCTTAAATGGCAACCTTATTCGGGAGTACTAACACAGAGAAAACAAGCAGTGGGAATCTGAAAATCCAGGAACAAAAAACTTTTGGTGATAGTCCACTGCCGGCCATGCAAAAGGTGTCCTCTCCTCCAAACCTCTCTAAAGTCAAAAAAGCCCAGTGTCCCCCCCCCCCCCCAACATGCTCATTATGTCTGCATTATTCCCCAGCCATAGCCTCAAATGCTTTCAGAGAAAAGCCTACAGTTCAGTAGTGGTGCATTTGTTTTGCAAGCAGTCCAGTTCCCAGCATCTCCAGTTATCCAGGATCAGGTCACAGGCGATGTGAAAACTCCTCTGCCCCAAGATCCCCAAGATCCTGGAGAGCTCCTGCCCGCTGTTTTGATTCTGCATAAGGCAGCTACAGGTGATCACACCTGCCCCAATCCCACCAACGTTACCACAGCGTGATAATGTTTCCAAACCCTCGCTTCCCAGCAGTGTCCCCTCTAAGCTAGTTTTCTTGCACTGCATGGTACCTGTGGGCCAGTGTTCACTCTAAGCTGCACTGGCTGCCTATAGCATACCAGATTCGCTTCAAAGTGCTGGTTCTTACCTATAAAGCCCTTGATGACCAGGGTCCAGCGTACCTAAGGGACCGCCTTTCCCCATATGTTCCCCCAAGAGCACTACGGTCTGGGGCGCAGCACCTACTGGTGGTTCCTGGCCCCAAGGACATCAAGCTGGCCGCAACCAGGGCCAGGGCTTTCTTGGCGGCGGCATCTATTTGGTGGAACGAGCTCCCAGAGGAGATCCGGGCCCTGCGGGACTTGGCACAGTTCCGCAGGGCTTGTAAGACAGAGCTCTTCTGCCAGGCCTTTGCATCCGGTGCCATTATGCCACCACCGAGTTGCCATCTACGACGGTGGATTAGATGAACCGGGCCTGGGAAGACACCTAGGTGACCAAGAACTTATGTTGTCAGGCTAGGTTGATAAACGGATCCCATCTTGGGGCCATAAGTTAACATCTAGAGCACCGCACTTTATTTATTGATTGTTTTTATACTGTTTTAATTGTTTGTTATGGCATTTGCCGCTGTGGGAAGCCGCCCTGAGCCCATTTGGGGAGGGCTGGATACAAATCTAATAAATAAATAATAAATAAATAAAGCTGAGTTAATGTGAGCTAGCTCACAGTTTTTTAGCCTCCGGCTCACACCTTTTGGCCTTAGCTCTGGAAGGATGTGGCTCCACAGCAAACTCATTCCTGCAGTAGCCCAATCGCTCACTCAAAGCTTTCATGCCAGGACCTCCCGAAGGAGGATTTTTGCTAAC